AGAACCCCATGGATGAACCAAAATAGAATTCGTTCTGAAGAGAAAACCGTCGTAGACAAGATAGCTGTATAGCGAGTCCACCTTAATTTAAGGCAGATTAGTGGTATTTTTCACCTCCGTGCGAAAAATATGTGCCCACTTGAATCTTATTCAAAATAGCAATGTTCATTTCGTCCTACAGCGCTGCAGGAAGTCCGTATTAAATTCCTCGTATAGACAGACTTTACAACACAATTTATTGAGGAGAAGAAGCTTTTATTTTTCATTCTGAAAAAAAAGTCACGATTTATTTCGCTGTAAAGGGAAAAATCACAATTTATCAAAGAAAGCCCAAACTCACAAAAGAGTGTAGCATGTATATTTCTCCAATACATCCACATTTGTTTTTGGTCATTTGAAAAGTGAGGGGAACACGGCATTGAGCATTTCATAGATATCAATTTTCACTATTGATTCCAGAGTCTCACAGATGGCTTTTTCAATGACATTCGAATTCTCAGTCACGTAATAAACTACGGCGTCACACATCTCCATATGAGACGTCTTCCTGTAAAACCAAAGATAAAACAATCAGTGATTTTTAAAAAAAAGTGGGTTATCTTCATTTCTTGGGCAGAAAAAAATAGTCTTACCCTATGTGTACTTGATGATCCGCTCCCGACATTTCATAGATGCACTTCACGACCTGTTCGAAAAAAGGGAAACAATTTTGTATAGCACTGATTTAATTTATTGACACTTTGAAATTTGTCTTATAAATAGCGTAGAATTACAGTACTACGAAGAAGGTTATCGTTGCATTTTCGAAAGCTGTTTTGCGTTTGATTAGATCAGTTCAAGCATTTTTCACAATTCGTTCATCTTCAGAGCACAATTATGCATAGGTTCCACGAAAAAAAAAAAAAAGAATTACAATATTGTTGACCACAAGGATGAAAGCTTTAAAAAAAAAACTCACAACTCTGTCCCCTGGAGATATGATGCCAAATTGTTGTTCTGCGGGGTCCAAATAAGTTTTGGAATCCTTGCGAATAGCATCGCCGATTAAAGAGACTGCGGCATCTGGTCCAGAACCTGCCACTTTGATGATTTCCATTTTTGTTCCTACGACAAGTTTAAAAAATTTTTTTCATTTATAAATGCTTGTAAAACCCTTTCAGGCTCTTTCTTTTCAAATTCACCGTGTTGATGCGTGTGATAATGAATGTGGAACGGGACAATTTCAACGCTCTCCCGCATAAAACAAGTCCCAACCATTTCACTTTTGTGCACGTCCGGTGATGATGACTTCAAAGGGTGCGACTTTTGCAGCGGATTTGTGGCAATATCTAAACTTCCAATAAGCTTTTTCGTCCTGTTGAATTGCAGAAAACGACTTAGACTTATTGGTGCTCAAATAAATAAAAAATTAATAACTGCATTGACGTTAGAAATTTAAGGTAAGCTTTTATTGCATGTGCATTCAAGCTTTTATTATCCGTTACCTTTCGGTTGTGAAGTTGAGATTCACTTTAACTTCGCTGAGATTGTCGAAAGCTGGATCGGCACCTGGAAATGAATGAAAAATGTTGATGGTTTTTTTTAAATGTATACACTATACAGCATGAGGATATGATGAAAAGGATTCATTCGAACCTGGTTTCACATTGTAATGAATTGAAGCGACCAGGTATTTGATCGTCGTTCGTTCGCCCATTTCATAACCAGCATCCTTCGGGTAGAAATCTCTTTGACCGTCCATTCCTTCAACTGGCAGGGAAGAGTATGTTTTCCCTTCGCAAATCTGCTTGTCCTTGCAAGACCTTCACGATTATGTATATAGAATTCCGAAAATACCGTAATTCATTACACAAAAGCTGGAAATCATAAGGGTACTCTCTCCATTACCAGGTTCCCTCCTCTGAGTAAACTTCTGCACAGCCGACGATCCGAATGTGATGGAAATATTTCATGGGGAAACCCTCGGGAAAAGACGCGTTTGCTTGAAAAAAATAAATTCGAAAAATTAAATTTCAAATTCGAAAAATTTTAGCGATCTCTAAAGTGATTATGTGTCAAAAAGTCAATGATGCAGAGATATGAATGATGTTTAACCCATTCGATAAATTTTCATTTTTTCTTTTGAATTATGAATTTCTTTATTTTAAGTAGATGTCATTGGATGCCATCAGTGTATTTTATTTTTACGCTTAAGCCAATAACTCTAGTAAGCCTCGCATGTTCATGGATTATGCTCCTATAATTTATACACTCACAAATACGGTACAGTACTCTACAGTATTGTATATGCGCCTGCATAATCTCAGCATCAGAGTTATTTCGGAGTACAGGAATTCGAAACAAAATTATTTCTTTCCCGCCTGATCGTTCATGTTGTTGGTGTTCTTTTAATTTAAATGCCAGATCATTTGATCCGTTCTATTTTAGCGAATACAGATCGACTGAAGGGACCCAAAAAGCGAAGCAGGAATGGAAAACGTAGAAGCGACACCTTGTATCAAATAGTCTACTACGCTTTAGTGATAATAATAGAGGACACTGCAAATTGTCGAGTGAGGCATGTAGAGATGTTTTTCGTGTGACCACGATTCGGCGAGGGGCTACGCAATATCTGGATTCCTCCCGGTTCTTGACCCGACTTATTTTTGCTTGCTATGTAGTACTGGTACTGCCTGAGTACCAAAAGGTTCACATCAGCGAACGCATCTATTCGAGCTTTGATGTATGTGCAGGTACATTGCACTAAAAACAAAGAAGTCTCCCTGCTTCGTTTGAAACAGAGTTTTCATCCAAAGAATAATTTTTTTCAAACAGAACTTCTTGAAGAAGTAATTTCCAGCAAAGGATTCCTCATAGCCTCCAAAAAATCTAAACTTTCTAGATTTGGTCTTCTAGAATTCAGACTATCTAGAGTTCTAGTAAATTTAGAAATTCCAGTACACTTCCTAATCCTCACCCGTTATTTTTGTGAAATCCCTATTCATTTGGCTCATGAATTGAAATAAATTGCTTTACTTTTTATTACCCTGGAAAAGACGCGGAGCCACTGTGAAATTCAGTTGAAAACAGAGCTCAATCGGCTTCTCGAATTCGTTTTCAAAATAAGTTCAGGACATTTTTTTCAATCGTCGTTCTAGGAGCAATTTTTTGCCGCTTAACTAGTCAAGATGATGTTGATCAGCAAATTTGGCAATAATTCACGTAATGTTCACTGATTTACTCACTGATGAAAATGTTCGGCGATCCCGCTGGCATTTTCCATGACTTGCAGATGAAATGTTCTTCCTGCAAAAATAATGCCCATGTATGGATTGAATATCTCTCTGATTAAAACTTCAATAATAGCTCAACTAATGGTTAATTTTAAAAAATGCAGATGTTGTAGACAATCAAATGCTGGAACCCCGCGATCTCTCGGTCGAGACTCGAGAGATCCTGGGCCATATCAGACTTGAGCTCGACTTGCACATCAAACATTTGCTCGCAAAATTCAAAAATTTCTTTCGCAAACTTGAAGAAAAAAATGGGGTAACTTACACCGTCTGGGGGAACGATTGGAATGACGAAATCAGATGTTGACGCAGCTCGAGTCGACGAGCACACAAGGGCAATGTACAGTAACAATTTCAACATTCTGAACCCTGCTGTATGTTGTCATAAAGATCAGCACAAGAAATAATTTAGCTTGGTTTTTATATTACTTGATCAAAATAGGAAGGAAATTTTCCAGAATTTCAATTTAACTCTTTTTTAGAAATATGTTGCCAAAATATATCCAAATTACTTTCAGCTGGTTTGACAAGAATTGAATTCACCAGATTCGAAGGAATCTATCATCAGAAAACCCCTCGAAATTGTTTCTTATTTTTCCTCAAGTGCAGTAACAGTCACACAGAGTTATTACATTATTTTCACATTCTACTTGAAAATTTTCCCACACACTTAAAAAAAAAACACCCATCAGTTGCTGTGTACCAAAAACAACACCATAACACAGAACCGAAGAAATAATCCAGCAGCTAATATATTGAGCACACAAAGCAGCTGCTGGTCAGGCACTGAAATCAAACTGGACCCAAGAGTCTCTCTCCTTTTCAATTCCACCACATTCAAACAATCCACTGCATATACTCATAGATATATTTTTTCTTTCTTTCTTTCTTTCGAAATAAGATACAGCGACTCAAGTCCCGTTTTTGTCTGCTGGTGCATCACTGATCCATTGATCAGCACGAAGGTTGAAAGAAACAGAGCTCAACTTGGGACGTGCCAGAAAGGTCTTCAGAGGACATTCAGAGGACACCGACCTTTGGCTCTTGGGGATGTTCACCCGCTTTGCATTCCCAAAATGCCTCGAGTCCTTACTGGCTTATGTTTCTAATGCTGTGACGAGAGAGACGAGGTTTTCACAGGACGGCAGAAAAGTCTTCGAACTGCCTGTGGGCATGAGCGAGAAACACAGAGAAGGAGGGTGTGTGTGGGCACTTGAAAAAATGAAGAGGAGATATAGACATTCACAATTGGATCCTGAGAAGTTTAAAACCTCCCTAATTCGCATTTCCACTTGATCCATGTCGGTTAATTACCTTATTATTAAGTCAAATTAAATTTAAACCCATCTAAATCGAAATTTTTTTGGGTTCAATAATAACATCACTCAGTCGAATTTTAGAAACCTTTTAAGAATTGAATTAAGGCTAAATTTCACAAAACCCGTTCCAGGAAAAAAATAATGCAAATTATCTTCATCATTCTCTCTACACTACGGGATTACACCAGCGCAAGAACAATATTTTTGAAGTATGAACAGTTCTAATAATTTGGCCAGAAAATAATTTCCATGGATCACTTATAATCTTATATAAATGAAGCCAAATTCCCTTACGCAAAAACTTTGAAATTCAAATTTCTTGGGAGTCCCTTCAAATAAAATTTGGGAAGGGGACATCTTCGGATTTTTCAACGTCATACTTCAAAAAAAAAACAAAAAAAAACGACGATTTCAGGCACTCGAGATACTTTATTCCCGGGTCCAAAAAGCATTCTCCATTCAAACAAAGAAATTCTGGTTTACAGAATCAGTAATAAAACGAGATATGCATTGCATGTGGGAGGCAATAAAAAGAGGAAAAAAAACAATATAAATCAAGCACGCCTACATTTCTTTCGACACCGGTATTTGTTGACATGTTTCATTCTCAAAACATGCACCCAAAAATCTTTCTCTTAAAAAATGAAAAAAAAAAATTCCAGATCGACTTCCACGGAAAGTAAATTGGTCAAATAAAAAATCTATTGAAGTTGTTCGATACTCTCTGTATTTATTGGCAGCGAGTTGATCCTAAAAAAATGAACCAATCAACAAATGATTCGAAAAGAACCCAAAATCAAAGGGAATGTCCAAGATTAAGATAAAATTTCAAATTCGACAAGTTGAGGTTCAAGTGATGCCCTTTTGCACTGTACAGATTTTGTTATAATTTTTCTAAAAAACAAACATTCAATTATTCGTCGGAATAATATTTTTTTAAATTTAAATGCTGCAAAAAAGATAAATCCTTGTTAAGTTTTCAATTCCCGAACAATTCAAGAATGCAAACTATAAAGAGTACCCCGCAGAGAATAGAAAAACTGAAAAAAAACATAGGCTCCCCTGGATACCCTCCATCACGTTACTATTTACGGTTCAAACGATTATAACTTATTGACACTAGCGCTACACAAAAGATGCAGAAATTTTGCGATTACCTACAGATCACCAAAAAATCTAGTAAAATGATATAGAGTTACGAACAAAACATCATCACATTTGAGTAAAGAAAGGTGTGACGGTAGAGTGGAAAAAAAAAATGCCAGCACCGATTCAAGAGGTTTTGCACTTGAGACAAGAAAAAGGAATTTAAAATCTTTGCACAAAAAATCCAAAGTGCAGCAGTGATTCAAAAAATACTGATGTTACAGCCAATAAGGAAACATTATTTGTTATCCACAAATTTAGCAATAGTGCCGAGTTCCAAAAAGGCAAACATTTTTACTTTTCCACGTACTGCAAGCATCAATAACTATTTTTTGTCGTCTGGAACTCTGGATGATGCCAAATGCTTTTTTTTTTTTTTCGTTCCATCACTTCCCTTCCACAAATTCGAAAATTATGCGCTCACATTGATTTTTTGTAGGTCTATAGCAGCTATCAAATTAACCTGGTTTACTCATCAGGAAAAGGCAGAAAACGAAATCCTTTTACGAAGAATATCGCCGAATACGAAATATTTGGATGAGGGGGTCCATTTGAAGAATACCCAAATACCAATTGAATCTTCACCAGGAAAACATTTTCATGCAGCAAATGCTGCCGCCGCCCTTGAGAAACTCGGAAACGTCAACCTCGATCACATTATAACCAGCTTCCTTCAACTTCCGGTTGGTCTCTTTCGAACCCGCTTGGATCAACACGTTTTCGCCGTCGGGGCAAAAACAATTGCACGCCAATCTGCCTTTGGCATCGGACTCGGGAACCTCAATCAGTCTCGGGATCAGGGTGCGGATCATGGATAACCCCTCGTCCGTGAATGCCTTGGGGTACACGACGGCCGTGTCGTTGTCGAGAATCGCCAATGCCGTGTCGATGTGGTAGAAAAACGGATCGTGCAGTTTCAAGGCCACGATTGGCACTTTCCACGCTGACGAGATAATGTCGTAGACTCGGAGATCCGTGCGAAACCCGTAACCCGCCCAGATCAGGCGTCTGGTTCCGTGCCACAAGGCATCTCCTTGACCTTCGAAATCTATGTTCGCTGGCAAATATTTCACCTGTGAGAAAAAAATGAAGAAAACATACGACGTTAACTGCAAAACGGAGGAATCAAATAAAAGAAAATAATTCGAAAAACGTCGATGTAAAGTCAAACGGGACTGAGTTTCAGATCAGGTTGGGTAAACGAACAGTCCCGAAAAATACACGAATTATTTGTATTTTGGATTAGTGATTGTGCTGGAATGGAAAAATGCACTTGAAATTATATGTAGCCGATTAAAAAAAAAGCACCTGAACAGCGGAAAATTCAGAAGGTTAGGGAAAGTCATCAGATAACTATGAAAAAATTCAGCATTAAAAGGAGGAAAGAAAACATAATTTTATGTTACAGAATACAGTATTTGTACAATATGTCAACGAGAAATCCCCTAATTTTAACCGTCCCCAAAATTGATCTTCAACGCTTTTGAAAAAAAAATTGACTCAAAAATAAAATTCGGACATGATTAGATCATATTTCATAAATAACCTGGGATGAATTTAAATTTATCTCTAGCTCTTCCTGAATAAAAAAAATAAAAAAAACGTATTCGCTAGCTCCTACAGTATGGTAATTTACATCGACAAAAATTTATCCACGACTTTTATTACTAAGTCTGAAACGTCTGCCAAAGTTCAACAACGTTGAAGAGAAAAAAGCATGGGATCAACCAAGCTGCATATTTGTCTCATCGCCACTTGAAAAAATATAAGTTGAATTTTTCTGCCTTCTTCCAGAATAAAAAATTGCATTTTCCAGATAATGATGAAAGGATGATAACACAATTATGATTGTATACTACAAGAACGAGAACCCAATTAAATTCAGGCGGAAAATTTTCGGCAACAACTAAATTTTGGCAGCACGTGTAAATAGAAAGATGAATTTCTTCGCCATTTCGTCCCATTTAAAAACTTGTGCATTTCAGCCTTCGTAATGATCATTTGCGAAAAGAGCCAGGTATTCGTCAGAAAAGACTCACCTCATAGCCGACGCTTTCACAAGCTTCCGCGTAATGCGGAACTTCCTTGGCTCTTTCTTCAACTGCCATGTTGCTCATGTAAACTTCAACGCCTGATTTTGCAGGGAATGGGAGACCGAGATTTGCAGCGTAAATCATGTCCGGCAACCCAGGCTTGCTCGGGATCTCGACGACTTTCACGCCGACTTTCTTGATTTCTTCTCTCGCCTGCAAGCAAAAATTTTCAACTTAGCATCAAAAATATTCACGCGCAATTTTTAATGCCGGTAATTTTTAATTTCGTAATCAATATTTTGGAAAGTCAAAAATGAACCTCCCATTTTACTCATCAGCTTTGCGAAGCATACTGATAATTTTAAAAGTTTCTTTATTTTGACGCTGATTTTCTGGTGTTCCGATCAAAATTAGAGAAAAAATACGGAGATGAATGTTGAGCCAGTAATAAGACAATAAAGTCGGCAATTACTTGACGCAATCCCCTGGACTGGAATATCATTTGATAATAAAATTCAGAATTATTTCTGTCGAAATTTTCGTTCTAGTAAAATATATCTAGCTCATCCGCAATTCTCTCCCGTTCCGTCGAACCAAAATATTTCGCGTTTTCCCCCCTTATTTTTGACCACTAAAAGTCATGTTCTCATCTGTTGAAAGTATATTGAAGTCCATTTCGATTTAGAAGGCAGAACTTACTACATGCCACTGGTCGATGCATTTCGCTTTGTCGACTGTTCCGATTTTTCCATCCATATGCGGATTGATTACGTAGGTCACATCGAAATGTTCGGGCGTGACCATGAAGACCAATCGCCTCGGTGGCATAGGTTCAAATTCTATCGGACTTTGAGCGACATCTCTCATTGACGTAAGGACACGACGTTGAAGTGTTTTTGTGCTGTACGAACGCGGATCGCTCCACCTTAAGACCCTGTCACGGCAGAAAAAGCAACACAACCATTACACATATGAACACCATATCTGATTCGAAACTTTTTCTTCAACATACCCAGAATCAGAGTTATTTGCACTAAGAAGCGAATCATTTCGTTGAGTTGGACTTCCGGAAGATGTCGCCAACACCGCATCTTCTGTCAAGAACTGCGTCCGTTGACGTGAGAAAGTTCTCAGTAAAGATGCGCTACTTCGACGAAACATTGTCCTGTCTTTTCTATTCTACTGTCAACGAAACCTGTATAAATTCGATTGAGGACAAAACACTCTTACATATACACATGATCGAATACGAAAAAAACAACTTATCTCATTGAAGAGAGAGAATTCATGCCATTTAATCGAGAAATTGAATGGAAGCTTTTATACACCAGCAGTTGAGGGACCGAGTTACAAAAAAATGGTCCAAACAATCACGAATTCATGATGAATAATCCTGGTAAAATAACCAGTGATTAAAAAATGCCCGAAAAAAAACAATGTTCATTTTTGGACTGGCTGTTCAAGCTTTTTGATGCCATCACTCAATTAATTATACACAATCCCGGATTCTCACAGTTGTCGATCCCTCGACGTAGAATATAATTGGCACCGGTTTCTTTCCATTTTTTTTTTCACACGGAAAATTGAGAATTACAATTCTTGGATTAGCTCACTATGTTTTTGAGCCTTTAAAAAATTCCTGTTCTTTTAAAAGTCTTAATCCAAGACAGGCAGATCCGCAAGACGCGATATTGAGATTTTGCTTCGGAATGAATCACCCACAAGAAACCCGGGTCTGCTGGGAACTGGGTCGGGTTTGAGCCGAGCTGGATGGAAACACCCTTCGTGCTCGCCCTTCTTTTTTTGGCGCATGCCCAGAATTGTCATCACTTCTTCCCGCTATTCCCCCCCTGTCTCTTATGCTTGATCTGAGCCCTTCCCACAGAGTTCACAAAACTATGTGGCATAGGCACGCAGAAGACCTCTTGTCCTTCTGTCAATAATTGACGAAACTGCGCGCTAATCCGGCGTGACCTTCATTTTTATTATTTGGTGAGATACACAAGTTCTGCGACGAAATTAAAAATGAGGGGGACGGCTGAAACAAAAAAATGGAGAGAAAAGGGTCGGACGAGTAACTTGAGAATGAAAATCGAATGAACCGTTGGATTTTCAATAGGAATCTTCCAACTGCCCTGGAAAAAATACTCTGACCGAATAGGACAATTGAAATTTCTTTTTGCCCTTGACTCGGATTTTTCTCCATACTATCCTCCCTATAAATCTAATTTTTTTTGCATGTGTTAGTGAAAAGCAACTTCAGGAGGCTCCACATATTTTTCGAGATTAAAATCCGGATTTCAAGAATCCGCCAACTGTTGAAAAAAAACCTTCCGACTGATTTAGATCATTGCATTTATTTTCTAGCCATTGAATCAGATTTTTAACTTCATTATTTTCCCCTTAATGCAATATCTAGGTTGTGTCTCAGTATCTATAAAAAGCAATTTCAGGAGGCTCTATGGATTTTCAAGACATTTAAATCCGGGTTTTCGGTTTCTTTTTCTTTGCTTTGTAAAATCCGGGTGTTCGGTTTCTTTTTCTCCGTTTTAGTTTTTCTGACGAAGTGATTTCATCCGGGTTGAAACTTTATAATAGGGTTCTTGCCGCTGTTGATAAAATATGATGGATGCACAAATACGCCATTTCTATAAACAAAAGTTTTTCCACGTTCTTAGCAGTATTTTTTTTCAAAATGATTTGAATATACCGGTAAGTCAAAGCCAGATCCAAAAATAAGTGTCTTTCTCTTTACCCTTATTTCTCACTTTACCTGTTGATGTTTATTTGGATTCATCTTGAACTTTATCCTTCCTAATCAACTTGAATTATTTTGTCCGTGATGTGCAGTTTCTGGCGGCACTTCAGATTCCGGAGAACAGTATTTATCATATTTAGGAAACTATTATATATGGTTCATCTTTTGAAGAAAGTAATAGAAAACTGTAGCTACGTAAAAATGTGACGCGCTTGAAAAATTTTAAATTGATCTTATATTGATTTTCGAATCTCGAACAATTTTCGAAGATTTTATATTGACGCTAGAAGAGAAAAATTGATATCCGGAAAATAAGTCCTCGGATGACGCTCGCAAAAAAAAATGCACTTCTCGGGTCAGTTCACAAATATTTGAATTCAAATTTTCCAGGCATATGCATTGAAGTGTCCCGTCATGTGTTACCAAGTGAACATTTTCATGCAAAAGACGCTTCCGCCGCCCTTCATGAACTCCGTCGTGTCGACAGGCACGACAGTGAATCCTGCTTTCTCAAGTCGCTCATTCGTCACCTCAGAACCGGCTTGAATGATGACGTTCTTCTCGTCGGGGCAAAATGCGTTGCAGGCCATGTTCCGTCGAGCTTCTTGTTCCGGTGCTTCAATCACCTTGCTGAACACGGACCGGATTATCTCGTTTCCTTCCACAGTGAAAGCGCCCGGAAATACGAGGGCAGTGTCATTGTCGAGGATGGATAAACACGTGTCGATGTGGTAAAAGTCCGGGTCCAGGAGTTCCAACGTAATAATGGGAACGTTCCAGGCATTCGAGATTATTTCGTAGGTCTTGGGTGAGGAGCGGAACCCGTGGCCGCCCCAGAGCAACTTCCTGCTGCCGTGCCACAGGGCGTCACCCATGCCCTCGAATTTCAAATCATTTGGGAGGTGGTGGATTTTGTAACCTTGTTTCTTGTACCTGTAGAAAGTCCCAAGGGGCTGTTCATGGTTCTAAATGTACGATTAATGATGCAAAAATTTAACTGAAACTCAGCCAATGGCACAATAAAAAAAAAGGACAAACGCGAAGAATGTTGTAAACTCGAATTAGTGGAAATTGTTTTCCCCATTTCGCCCAAGACGATTGTTCGTTTTAAAAATCGCACGAAGACTCAGCAAAACGAGTAAATTCACGCAAGCTTAGACTCATTCATTTCTCCGCATTGAAATAAATTGTTTTTTTTTATCATAAATCGTCAAATGGTTTAATTTTTACGAAAAAGAGAACTATTTTCAAATGTTGTAATTGAAAATTTAAAATAATGCATTTCGGACGAAGCTCCAAAATGTAGACGATGTTTCAAGGATAAATAACAAAGAAACACGTTGGGGAAACCCACGGGGATTCAATTTGGCGAGTAAATATTTCATGTGTCGAAAAGTCGCTATAAAACTGAAGTTTCATTTTTATATTTTCACGTTTATTGCAAGGACTCCAGCAATAAAAAAAAATTTCGTAAAGAAAAAATATGTTTCGGAGGGAAACTATTCATTGATACAATTCACTTTAGTTTTTCTCCGGAATCTGATCCATTCCTTGCCAGATAAGCTAAAAATAACATCAGAAGTACACAAATTCCTTTTCCAATTTCTCAGCCAGCTAATATTTTGACTTAATTCCTAAAAAAAACAATTCAAAATCCAAACCGGTATTCCATCTTGTGACAAATTCAAATTCCCAAAAATTATGGAGTTTTTTTTTGAAAATAATTTTCTAAATTATACTTCAAGTTGAAGGTATCGATAGTTTCTTGGTAAATTACCTGAAAATATAAACAGTACTAAATTTGAGAAACCATCAAGAAAATTACCGAACTAAGAATCGTGTCTGATGGAGTGAACATAATTTAATCTTGAGGGAAATTTATTGAAAGCTTCGCATTTTTGTCTACAGTATTTCGGATCTTTCGTCATAATCTTGCACTCCAGATTCAAACTTTTTTTAAATCTCAAATAACCAGTTTTACATGCAACGGTATTAAAATTAAATATATGAAAAGGACTGTATTATAAAATATTAAGAGTCGTGTGTTCATATACGCCATTAGTAAGTCAATTCCAACAATTTTTAAATCCACGCTTTCTCGAATTCAACGGTGGGGGAGTTTTCTCAGAAAATTTCACACTTATTCACCTTCAGTACGCACTGTATTTCCGGATCGTGTTTTCAATTTAAAAGCCATGGAGCGATCATATAAAATTGGGTTCGGAAACCATGGCAAAATCGTCATACAAATAGCCATGCAGTATGAGAAGATAAAATATTATTTCATCACAAAACTCACCATTCTTCGAAAAACGGGACTTCCCCACGTCGCTGCTCAGTGCCCATGTTACTCATAAACACTTCTTTCACACTTTTTCCCTCATCAGCACCCCGGAAAGACAACCCGTGATTTGCGCTGTAAACCATATCGGGGAAACCCTGGGCCCCGTCAAACTCATACACATCGAACCCGAGTTTCTCGTAAATGCCCTTCAAGTCTCGCCACTGGGCAGCAGCTTTCGCAAAATCCACAGTGCCAATTTTCCCCTCCATGTGCGGATTGATGACGTATTTGACGTCAAAGTGCTTCGGGTTCACAACAAGTAATTTCGTCGCTCGAGGCAAAACGGCGAAATTTTTCGCCATCTGAGCCACGCTTCGCACTGTGGAAAACACTCCCATGATGGTTCACTCAAAAAACTGCCTATGGCGAAAGATATTACAGTAATAATCAAACCCTGAATAATCAGTATTTCATTTTTTTTAAATACATTCAGAAACAATCTTTCTCTTTAAGATGAGCAAGCGTCTGCCTCCACGCGCGATGAGCGAACAACTGCGAAAAAAGGGAGCAACTTAACTCATTTTGATATTTTTTGAAACTTGAAAATCAAGCAAAGAATGAGGAATCAGATCCACGAAGCTGTAGATATCTCATGCCTCGTAACCCACGCATTGATTGGGCATCGTTCGTTATTTCAGATGCCAATTAAAAAGGGGGAAAATGACGCGTATATAGTCACTATCTAATTGATCAACAAAGGGACACGAAACATGGGATGGGGAGGTGTGTTCCTTATCACGTCAGCACCAAATCTGGCCGAGCAACAAGTTGACCAGGATGAGAAAAAAGTCTGGGCAAATAAGATAATAACTTGTCCTTGATGCAAAAAAAAAAAAAACCAGTCAAAACATTATATTTTTCCGCGAATTGTTCCGATATTTTTTTATTCCTATACAGTATATAAGCACAGGCACGTTTCCCCAAGCACTGGAGCTTTTTATCTCAGGAGAAACAGGCAAGACCAAGAGCGGGCCAATAAAAAAAAATTTGGTCCAGAGAGACACTTCTTCAGCAAGAATGTGCTCTTGTTTCTCAGAAATATTCACAGAATCGAGCAAAAACGTGTCAAAACTTCGGTATAATAATCAAATGTAAACTTATCAACTACTTCGTCTATTAAAAAAAAACCCCGATGGAAAACTTCAGGCTGGAACTATTTCTACGGGAAATTCCATTCTTTTTGGCGTGCCGATTTATGAATTATCTCGTTCTTCGACGATTACCAGTTCCATTTTCATAAAGAATATTGAGATAAATTACCGTCGATCAATTTAAAGATCCTGTAGATCAGAGTACCGGTAATAATTGCTATGCTCTTCCTTTTATAGTTCAATAAAAATACAATATAGCTCAGATTATCTTGAATAATCAGTACAATAATATCTCGAATGATCGAGTATTTGGGTGACTGGCTGATATGGTTCAGGTATATTGTACAGTACATGTAAATTATGCATACCATTAACAATTCGAACATTACAGAGCTGTGCTGGCAATAAACCTGAGTTTTCTTGAAACACGTTTTCAGGTACAGTACTGTCAGGCCGATTGATGACAAAGAATTAGATAAAGGAATGGACACAGTCAGTCAGCCTTTAACAGCCGGATCCTCTTTAGGAGAGTCCCTTAGAAAGCAGCAATTTAATCCAGGCACAGAAATCCGCAGAAGGATAAGAAGTACACAGAGGTACACAACAGACAATCGCGCTTGGACGTAATTATGCTCAACCGCCGTAAGGCACACACAAGCTCTGAATGAATTGTTCCCAAAGTCTTCGGGACTTCCATGTTGGCTTCCGCTGCCAGAGATTTCTATCTCTTGCTACTGACCCGGTTTACCGCAATGCGGCAAACCGGGTGCCTATCCGCTTCCGGGTCTCTGTGCTGTCGTTGCTGCGTGGTGTGCCCGAGCAAGGATGCTACGCTTGGGTCACGCTGCGTGGACGCAACCCCACAAAATCCCCCACCTTTGGGTGACGATGGCCGAGAGGCTGGAGACGGCCAAAGGACCCCAAAACAGGGTCACGTAGATGTCGCTGGTTGCCGGGGGCTGGGGAGGTGCGGGTGCGGTGGCACCGGGGGACGCGGAGCGTCCTCAACTGGTCAGGATCCGAGAGATGGTGGCGCGCAGGCGCACCAGGGGGTCCTGAGGAGGAGAGAGGAGAAGTTTGTCACTCAAGTTGGGGATCCCGCCAGGGGCAGAAGTCCCCAAATTTGTCAGAAAGGGCTGTAAAAAAGGTCTTGAGTGTGTAGTCAAGTGTCAGAGAAGTTTGGTAAAAGAAGGCAGAGGACCAGTGTCGGGGTCTTTGTGCTGGAAAAGATCGGTTCTGTTGATTGTATTGCGTACTGCGTGGCACTGCATCCCAGCAATCAGGTCCCACTGCGCATGCGTTTTTGCGTTGGGGGGCCCCCTGTAATGAGATAGAACAGAGACGGGCTGGCGGTCTTACCGTCTTTTTGCTGGCAGAGCAGCCCTCAGGGTGTCCATCGCAATTTGTACAAATGCGAGGACGGCCGTCTTGACGTGAGGCCGGCACCTGGTCATGCATGCGCATCCTCAAGGGCTCCAGGAGCCCGAGGGATCCAGCATTGCACCGGCGCGAGGCGACTCAGTGTTTCTTCTTTCCACGTCAGAGGCGGTGGTTTGAGCTGTGGTCCTTTTGGTTTTTCCAGATCCTTCAGGCGACTTGCGTACCAAAAAATCAAACAAAAGTGCGGAAAGATTGCGAAAGCAAAACCTAAGAGAACCGCGGCGTTAAGAAGAATCAAAAGTGATCGCTTGAATTTTGACAGGTTGCATTGGACGCTGGTGCCACAAAAGAACGGAGAGAAAAAGAACGTCGTGGACTTGATTGAAATCATGGACGGAGGCAGGAAACGCGAACATAGTGGCGATCTGCCGTCTACGCCAAAATGTCAGGCGTCCGAGGAGGACATCTTTGAGCTGAGCATCTCAGGTAAGTGGCTCAGCCCTTGTATCCGTGAGTGTTCCTTGAATTTTTGCTTGTCTGGTCTTGTTTCAGAGGACGTCGACGAGACACCTCCGGATTTGGTCATCGCGGAGGGTGCAGAAGGTGGAGTTGCGCCATTGGAGTCGGCCGTCAAGGCAGCTGTTGAGGCTGTGGAGGACGTGCCCGCAACCGGGGCACCTGCGGCGCCAAATGTACGGCTGCCGGAGGTTGTGGAGGCCAATGCATCCGTACTCCTAGGGCTGACAAAAGACAGCTGGCAACACCTTGTGGCTTTGATGCCAATGGCAGCGTCCGTTGATGCCGCGACTGCTCATTGTCGACACCTGGAGGAGCAGCTTCGCCGAGAGACTGTGGCCGCTGAGGCGGCGCACAAGCAGCTCAGCTCTGTGCAGTTGCCAGTCCAGAGAATGACGATGGCAGTGGAGGTGGCAGAGTCTTTTCGCCTTTGGCTTTGCTCGGTTGAGGCTGAGAATGCCGTGCGGGAGCAGGAGTTGATGCAGCCTGTCACCGCTCAGTTCCGTGTCGCAACTTGCGTCGCTTTGCGGAGCCTGGGGCAGGCGTTTCCTGCCGGCAGGCAGGTGTTCCTGCAGGAGGAAGATATAGTTGTTTGATGAGAAGGTGAGTGTCCTGCAATTGATGCAGTGGCTTTTGGAAACAGGCGTACTTTGGATGGCGCAGATGGCAACAACACCAAGCATCAAGTTTGTGTGGGGGCCAACAATGGACGTCATGCTGGGGTGGTACGCTGGGACGCGATCTGAAGACGCCCCACGGGTTGCTGCAGTTGAAGCGGCCGCGGCTGCGGCTACTCCGCGTTTGGTGGAGGCGCCGGCAGCGCCATCTTGTCACCGATTGACGCCGCGGCGGGAGCCCTTGGCCATGAGAGAGGACGAGGTGGCACGGCTGCCATGAGCGCCATTGCCTGAGGTAGCAGGGTGTGGATATGATCTTGACATTGAGATGTTGGATGCTCCTCCAAGTAAGTGTTATTGGGAAGGTTTGGCTAGAGCCACTGTAACCCTTGTTGTCTCGGTCTGCGCAGTTGCAGATGTTCCTGAAGCGGAACATTTTGAGATGCTGACGGAGACATGGCGTTTCAAGCCGGAAGATCCAATGACATATGTGAGGAACGTGCGTGAATGACAGGGCGCTGTACGGGACAGGTCCCGCATTATGCGGAGTTTCCAGCTACCAACGCCGGGCTGCACCCTTGCCAATCATCGGTTTCGGTGCGTGCAATATTTGAGGATCCCCCGTGCCCCGGGGTTTCAGCAATGGCCACAGATGCGTGCTGGTGATTGGGGATTTGCTGTTGTCAATGGCTCGGATTACCCAAGAGGCGTACTGTTTCTTTGGCAGGGTGAGTTCCTGGTCAAATATGCCTCAACCAGTATTCGACTACTTGTATTTGACAAGGGATCTGTCATTCAAGGTGTTTCAAGTGAGTACCTGGGTGGGCATGGGGAGTTATGGGGCTGTGCTAAACAGCGTTTCATGTTCTTGTAGTGCAGCTTGAGCGGCTTGGCCTCGTTATGTGGCCGGAACGCCATTACGCCGGCAGACCTGCGCCAGCGGGTGTGGGCAGATTTGAGCCTGCCGGTCGACATGGAGTTTGTTGCGGTGCTGGTACGCATCAGGACGAACGACATTAAGTTCCTAGTGTTGCGGACGGGGCATTGCCTGTTCTCCTCATTTACCATGTTCTTCGCGCAGCTGAGGATGTACCATGCAGACCTGACAGATGCCTTTGGATGCCCAGCGTTTGTGCTAGGCGCGTTGCCGCCGTCGGATGAAACGGACGAGGATGCTCATGCCATCGTCCATGGGCCGGATGGGTATCCGGTTCTTCCCGTGCAGGCCCGGCAAGGCCCAACAACGATTGCTCACCGCATGCATGCAGGTGGGCTTATGCTGTCCTCGTTGCTGCGGGGGTGGCAAAGACAATACAGCCTGTTCCGGGCCTATGGACCAGAAGGTACCCAGCAAGGGTAATACGCCGCCCCGACGTCCAGAGGCATGATGACTCTGCTGCTCGCCCGGGGCGCTGACTTCCAGCGCGATTTTGGCCCCCTGACGCTGGCGGCGGCAGGCTTTATGGCGCGGGACTTGGCAGTCTCGTATATCTGGGCTGTGGCCCAGGTAACTGGTGAGGCACCGGCCCCGTACGGAGTGTGCCCAGGGCGTGCCCCTGAATGGAGTTGGGACGGGACCGCAACGGATGGTGTTTTGCCCTTAAGTCCGCATGACCATTGCGGCGAGAATGGATTGCATCCGTGTGTGCCGCAAGCACTGCCGTCACTGGATGGTGTGGGCGCCACTGGCAACCTGTTCTCCCAGTGAGTAGATCAGCAACTACGGTCAATGTATTTGTTGTAACGCTTTTGCGCTATTTGCAGATTTGATCCAACCTGCTTT